TAAAAAAAAAAAAAAAAAAAAAAAAAATAACAGTCAAAGGGTTAATTCACTTCCCCCTGAGCATGGAATTGACAGGCCTTCTATTAAGTGCCCATTTTGCAATGGCTTTTTCCCCTACTACTACCACCACCACCACCACTTAGTTATTGATAGGGGTTTACTGCTACAGGCTCAACCATTCACCCACCACAAGCAGGGTGCTACAAAGCACCACCTCCTTTCCCACGACCTGGATTTCCCGCTCATCTTAAATAAGCTTGTAGTCAGTAGATCTTTGGGCTGTAGAGTCCTGGTGGTATCCCAGAGCAGCCCCATTGCCCTGCATTGGTTTGAGTAAGGAGGAGCAGTACACAGATTCATAGATGTTAGGATCGGAAGGGACCTCAATAGATCATCCAGTCTGACCCCTTGCATAGGCAGGAAAGAGTGCTGGGTTCAGATGACCCCAGCCAGATGCCCCGGCCTATGCAGCCCCACCCCTGCCCACCCAGCATCAGGAGGCACAACGTGGTATCACACGGTTCCTGGGTCAAAGGCAGTAGGGCGCAGAGCCCCAGCCTGCAGTTGGCAGTCCACCTGTCTTTGAACAGAGACAATGGGCTTGTAGAGCTATAGGACTCCAGAATAGAAGGCTTTGTCCCAGACGAAATCAAGCATCTGGCTGCTTATATAGGTGGTCAGGGCATGTGTATGGGGGGAGGGGAGGGAGTTTAATTAAAGTGGTTCCCAGGCAGCTGCTCTAATTAAAACAGCTGACTCACATGTATTAAGCCCTGTAGCATTTCAACATGGGTGGGTATTGTTAAAGTAAATTTTATGCAGTGAACTAGGGATTGTTTCCCTGATCAAACTATAAGCAGCAGAGCTCCTAGATATCCTAAAGCAGTGGTTTTCAACCTGTGGTCTGCAGACTCCTGGGAGTCCGTGAAAGATGACTATGATCAGCCAAAAACAGTATGTGAATACTGTTGTATTTAGAAAGCGGGTTTTTAAACTTAGTGCTCCAAGAATTGACACAACACCTGGTTGATCAATAGCAGAAAGGCCTTAATAACAATACCACAAGCAAGCTTATAAAACCAAATGACAGAAAAAGACTCCTTCCCAAAATAAAATGAGCTACTCCACAAAGTCCTAGTACATATTTAGCAGCAATAGTGTACTCTCACCAATGCCGGTGAAGGCAGCTGGTCCAGTCTTGCAGCTTTCACCAAGCAGGATCCATTGCTGGTTAAACTGGGTGCGATGTAGCAGTGATGTCTCTCTGCTTCTCCTGGAGTGCGCACTTTGATGGCAAATTCTGTTAGTTCTTATACTGTTTAATTGTATAACTTCAAAGAATTTTTCCTTGACAGTTGGCTGATTAGAGTTCAAACAGGGAGGTAAAGGTGTTGATCATCATATCATAACTATTAATTGCCTGACTCCTGTTCTGCATTGTCTAGGTGTAAAACTTGTGCATCTCTGAAGACTCTATAATTGTAGGTCAATTTACAGGTGATGGGCCTGAGCAGTCAGACAGGATACTTAGAGGTGCCACCAAACCTGTTTTGGGGTATTTGTATATCAATCAGGCACATTTGCAGTAGCTTGTACAGGGGACGGTATGTTTTTCAAACTCCAGTCATACATTGAATGGTTCAAACATTTTTAACACCCTATACCAGGATATATGTTGGGAGAAGTGTTTGTCACATACATGACATCTTTTCTGTATCTTTTACAATTTTCTCTTAAGATGCATATTTAGCCTTTTGCTTCCTTTAGCTGCTAGGTCAATATGAAATGCATATGGTGCTTTCTTGCCTTGACTGTCTTCCGAGACACACACACGTGATGAGCGTATCAGTTCTCTGTTGACCATTCTCTTGATTTGACATAATCTAGCACAGTGAATAAAACCAATTGAGGTTGCTCTATTTTGTATGGTCCCAGATGCCACTTTGCATTTTTTTGTGCAAGGTGCACTGTTATTTTAATTTGGTCACAAAGATTTTCTGTGTATGGCTGGCCGGGCTGCTGCTGCATTCACCATCAACAAATACTTACAATTCAAAGGGGTCTGAACTTCCATTTGAAATTTCCAAAGGGGTCTGCACCCCCATCTGAAATTGTTTAGGGGGCCCGCAAATGAAAAAAGTTTGAAAACTACTATCCTAAAGACAAATTTCTAGGTATTAGTGAGACCACAGAAAAATTCTGCTTATCCTCTGTAGCTTATGGTGGATAAATGATAAACATAGATCTAAAATCTTCAGAGTTAAAATCAACTGATGGAAAACTACAAATAGGTCATAAACTTTTATCAACAATATAAAACTGCAGAATTAGTCATTATATATTCAGACTCATGATGGAAATGCAAAAACACAATTATCCTTTGACACTTGAGCCAGGAAAATACTTTTCAGTCAAGTGCTCTCATCTGAGCAAAACTGTGGGACTGTGAAAACAGTAAAATGATTTCATGTGATCATAGTAAAAACATCACAGCTAAAATGATTTATGGCAGTAAACACAAGAATCACTAAAGAATTAGGCACCAAACTGATTTACTGACTCCAGTACTGGGCAATGCTTACTATTCACATTATAGCCTGTATTTACACTTTGCCCTGCAATAATTCAGATCTGCTTAGTATAGGCAAAGTGTTATTTTACCTTTTTTAATATGCACCCTAATGGATGTCGCTCCTCCACCTTGAACATGGAGAAAATATGCTTGGGTTCTTCCAAAAATCCCACTGAGAACACTGAGCCAGATTTTTAGAGGTCTGTCTAAAGATGTAGACCAGGGGTGGGCAAAAATGTGGCCCGGGGGCCAGATCTGGCCTGCCAGGCCATTCTGTCCGGCCCACAGGGCCCTTAAAAAATTTAGAAAATTAATATTTATCTGCCCTGGGTTGCCTGTCATGCAGCCCTCAATAGCTTGCCAAAACTCAGTAAGCAGCCCTCTGCCCAAAATAATTGCCCACCCCAATTTAGACAGCCACCGAGTCCATTTTGAAACTCCAACTAGTATCCCGTATTTATCTTGCCTGACACATTTAAAACAACCAGTTCCTTGTACTTCAGTGCCATGGAAGCAGCCAAAAGCTGGATTTGAAAACTCCCCTTTTGTCCAAATGCCATTTGAACTCCTAAATAGGCACCCTAATGGCTATTGGTGCTACTCCAAGATTTAGCCAGTGTTCTTTAATTTATTTCATGTTTGATTTCTACCACATCTCAGCATAGTGCTTTATTGGCATTTTTTAAAACCTATTTCCCTTCCTTCCACTATTTCTGAAACTCCTTTATTAATTCAGGTGCTTCTGAGGTTATTGTGCTTGTCATGACAGGCTGCAGGGTGTCCACCAAAAGCACTGGTGCAGTGCCTCCAGAAACCCTGGAGTTCAGTGAGAGGCAAGGACATTTTGACACCTAGGGGTAATCTTACACCATTTACACCAATGGTAATGTTTCTATTGATTTTAAGGAGCAAGATGTTTCTTTAGGAAATGAGTAGCACTTACACAACATAGCATCATACACATAGGCGACGCGTAGGGAGGGCATGGGAGGGGGGCATGTGCCTCCACCCTAAAATTGGCCCTTGCTAGCCAGGGAGTGGAGACCGCTGGCCGGTGACCCCCTGAGACGCGCCAGTGGCACTTGTGGTTTTGCCAGAGGCACTTCCAGGGTCAGCGATTGGCTGACTGGGGTACACCCTCCCCACCACGGTCAGTGATCGGCAGCTGGTGCCCCCCCAGAGCCAGGAGGCATGAGTCACCCATGATCATAAATGAACGACTTCTTGAAAGCTCCCATAGGTGAGACCCCAGCTACCCTTGCAATTCTCTAATGGAAACATATTTTTGAAAGAGCAAACACAGTCGGCTGCTTTCAAAATTCCACTTGTTGTCTGAAAGGCCATTTAGGTAGCATTTTGAAAGGTCATTTAGGTAACATTTAAATCCTGAGCACAACCTCCAAAGGAGGCCTTTGGAAAACACTATTGTCAGCGACACCTGGGGTGCTGGAGGCAAAACTCCTACAAAGACTAAATGTAACTGCAGCTCAGACGATTCTGCCCATTTGATTACGACTAGATCAGTGGTCAGGAGTATGCAGAACCGAGGCTGCAGAGCAAATGGCATGCCCCTCGAGTCAAATATGTGCATGTATAGTGTTGCAACTGCCTTGAGCTAGAAGGGTGCAGGGGAAGTACACCCTAAAACAGGAATGTTCATTCAGGGGCAGAGTTAGTCACTGGGGTGCTGCCGGGCCTGAGTGGCTGGGAGTCCCAGCTCCTGCTGTGCACCCGAGGGTGTAATGCAGGTGGGTTTTCTCAAAATGCCCATGATTTCTTCAGCTGCTCCCAGCCCAGCCCCTGGCTCCCGGCTTGACTCCAGCCCCTGGGTCTCTCCCCTGCGCTCCCCCTGCCCCAGGGCTCCTGGTGGGGCTGGCAGAGAGGATGGCTGTGATTGGCTGGTGGCTAGCAGAGCCCAGGAGGCCATGTGACCCGGTGGGGTGAGGCCGCGGCAGTTGGCGCCTGGTCCCTGCAGCACCATGCAGGTCTCAGAGGGGAGGCAGCTCTTTGACCCCATCTCCTTCGGCAAGGACCTGATGGCCGGGGGCATAGCGGCCGCCATCTCTAAGACCACTGTGGCGCCCATCGAGCGGGTGAAGCTGCTGCTGCAGGTGCAGGCCTCGTCCAAGCAGATCCGGCCTGAGCAGCAGTACAAGGGCATGGTCGACTGCTTCGTCCGCATCCCCAAGGAGCAGGGTACGCACCCTCCCCTGCCCCGTGCCTCTCATGCTGCCCTGTTGCCTGGGCCCTGCCTGTGTCCCTCCCCCAGTGGGTCCAGCAGAGTTGCAGCCATGTGTCCCAGCTTCCCCTGCACTCCAGCCTTCTGCGCCCCCGGGCGGCTGCTGCAATGTCTGCTGCCTTCTCCTCTCCCTGGGAGTTGGCAGCTGCAAGTGTGTGGAGCAGAGAGCAGCAAAGACACCTTCTTGGCCTGCTCTGTGCACCGCTTCCTGGCAGGAACCCCACACCTCAGGCAGACACCGATACCACAGGCACTCCTTCCCCTGGCCCACCATTCCCTCCTGGGATTTTGCCTTCAATGCTATCCTTCCTGAAACAGAGGAACCCTCAGCCCTGTCCTTATTGAAGCAGTCTCTCTGATTTCATCTTGGGGGAAAGCGTATTGGTGTATTTTATCAGTCTGTTTTCCTCTAGAATGTGTTTGCTCTTGTTATCAATGTACTTGCATTAAAGTAGCTTCCAGAAGTCCTGAGGTATCATGTATACACACTCAGAAATGGTCACTGGAAATGCTTGATCATATTTTATGAAGCCAACAAATAATAGAAAACTCGGAAGGGACATTTGTGCAATCCACAGATAGATATGTTGTCCACGTGCTGTAACAGTAAGACTTACAGGTTGCATAGGACATTTCAGGGTTTGTTTTTTTTTCCTTTTCATCGTCTTTCTTTTCCAAGAGATACAGCTATTTGACCTTGTCATCTTAATACCCATAGAAAGAATGTTTGAAATAAAGGAATTCCTTGCCTAAAGATTTGAGGGTTTTCCTTTCTGGATGGACCTGTACCTCCACCTCATGCCAACCATTAAGTGAGACATGTTTGAACTAGTACTAAATAGTAATGAACATCCATGAGACTGATTAAAATTTCATGCATTTCACTCAGCCCTTTATTGACAAAGCCATAGCAACAGTTGAGGTGTCATCTCTGGATCTTTAAATAACCTACCCATGACCTCCCAATATTTCCTGTGCATCTCTTAATAAGTTTGTTGAGCTCCCTTTCCATAGAGCAGACAGTTTGGGGGCTCAAATCTGAAATACCCTAAACACTTGCTGAAATCCAGCAAAATACTTAAGCATATTCCTGACTAGGATAGACGGGGATGATCCTGCCTTAAACCAGGGGTTGGACTAGATGACCTCCTGTGGTCCCTTCTGGCTTGACTTTTATGTGATTCCATGACGCTATATGCTTCACTTTTTAAGTCTCACAAGCAGTCCCTTTAACTCCATATTGTGACCAACCAGCTGGCAGTGATGCCAGCTCTCCTGACCTTTGGTACTTTTTTATGATCAAGCTGAAATGAAAAAGCCAACTTTTACTATTAAGTTTGTTAAGACAATCACATGAAAGTAGGTGGGGGTGCCAGCTCCAAGTATTTTTTAATGTTTGGGGCTTTAAATATATTGATGGCTCATCCCATCCCTCCATAAAATTTAACATATTGTCCAAAGGGATATTTTTTAAGGTATAAAAGGAACCTAATTATAAAATGTCATTATGCATACTGAGTTTCCAATATGCTGCATAAACTACTATTTGTATATGGAGCCTGAGCACCCCCCTACAGTGACTACAATACATAAACGGACACACATGAAGTAAAAAGCACAGTTGCTGTATTTATATCCCAGTGAAGTATGTTGATGAGATTTTTATACATATAATGTGTATATATCCCTAATCTTATTTGAGGTAAGAAAGTTAAGAACCTTTGCCATTTCTAAGCATTATTTATCTTGCATTTATGGGTTTCCATAGTTGAGATTTCCCATCACTGACAATTTATGAAGACATGTGTCAGTAAGTATAAGAATCGATCTAGATTTAAAATGCTAAATCATTAAAAAATACAGAAGAACACTTTTGCCCTTGTTACAGTTCATCTTACACAAGAAACAAGAGTGATGTTGTATAAGATATTCAGTATAATATAATCTGAACTTTGTAAACACAATGCAATAACCTATTTTTTCCATTTATAGGATTTCTCAGCTTCTGGCGTGGCAATTTAGCAAATGTTATCCGATATTTTCCAACACAGGCTCTAAATTTTGCTTTTAAGGACAAATACAAACAGATTTTCATGTCTGGAGTGAATAAAGAAAAACAGGTAAGTACACTCTAGCATCTGTTTAATAAATACGCCAGTGATGGTGTGGCATTCTCTGGCTGCTCTCTTCCACTAAGGGTCTGTCTTTTAAGGGCCCTGCTACATGTTCAAATCAAAGATGTATATAAACCAGCTGTAGAGTTGTTACACATTTTTAAGCACTAACTTTGTAGCTGGTTGGCTCAATAGTCATTTTATGGTGTGAGAATTACTTTGTAGGTTGTAGTCAGCCTACATTTATTGTGTAATTCACCAGTTAATTGAGTAATATACGTAACGTATAGTAGGAGCTTTACTGTCAATGTGTATATATATAATTTGTTAAGCAGTCTGCTTTGGATTTCTTCATGATGAAAGGAACTGTATAAAGCAAGCGTCATCACTTTGAATAGTAAATGAAGAACATGTGCCTAATTGTTAAATGATCCTCCAAATCTGCTCACACTTATTGTTTAGAATTACTCGATACAAGCTGTTAAGACTGGGATTTTAAAACTCTTTCTGATTCAGGCACCTCTCTCCTTCAGGCTCGTTTGACAATCTCAATGGTGTTTCACATTTAAAATATTAACTTAAACCCAAGTCTTCAAAACATTTACGCTCATGTGTCACTTCACACAAGTAGAGTCTCACTGCAACTACTTGCATATGTAAAGTTGAATTTGTGAATACTCATTAACACACACTATTAGAAAAACTTTTTATGATTATAGCAAAGGTCATTGCACTTGATTAAGATAGTTTTTTAGAATTCAGTTTTAAGTCTACTATTCTTGCTACCTGCCAAAGCTAGACAAATGTTTACAAACTAGTTCAAATGTTTTCAAAAGTTTCTTTTGTAAGTCCAACTTCTGGACCACACTAGAAAGAAAGAATTAAGATCTAGGTCTGGGCTCAAAAGGCTTTTGCATTGCTAGATGACACAGCTCCATTACTGCACACAGGAGGACTCCCTGTATTCACACACAGCTCCTTTAAGGGCACCCCACCTGGAACTGATACAGACTAGGGCCTGAGTTGTGAAAGGTTTATCTAAGTACATAATATATCATACCCATGTATTATGTCCAGTTCAGCAATATAAAAAGCAAGTATTAGATATCTAACTTGTTTCACGTAAACATAGCTAAGACATCCCATTGATTTATGTCTGCTTTACGTTACTGTGTTAGGGTTTCTTAGCAAGGCTGATTATATAAAAAAAAACGGAATTCCCCACTTCTCTTCCTGCCAGCTTTTTCTGCATTGCCAGAAACAATTCCTGCTCCAGGCTTTCCTGTTGGTACTTACCTGCATGACACCCAGGAGTCCTTAATCTCTGATTCATCTCCTTACATTGTATGTTAATTTTTAATCAGTTCTCATCTGTTTAAAGAAATACATATTTAAGCAATCTCAGTTTCCAGGTTTTCTTTTAGCAATGGAAAAATATGGAGCATACTTGGTATAAATAATTCTGAGTTTACAGTTCTTTAAATCTCTGTTCCTTCACACAGTGACATTCCCAGCTGGCATACATTTGACTGCTCTTGCTTTACAAACATTCTGAAAATAAAAATGTGCTTGGTTTTCAGTTCTGTGCAAATTAGGACACTTTAACAACCAGCATGTGTTTGTTTTTGAAGCTCAGCCTCTTGGGTTGCTCTCTGAACAATTACTGGGTTGCAGGAAAACCTGGAGGGGAGTAAGATTACAAGCTCTAAGCCATGTCTACAACTCACATTTTACCATCCCCAGCAGCAACACCCTAAAGTTCACTGTGCTGCTGCACTGTATGCACACTAGGCCCTCATCCAGAAGCAGAGTAGCTACTGAGAGCACTCTCATTAGCACTGTTTCATGACAGCATCAGTAATTTCAACCAGCGCACAGCTCCGCTACTTCCAGTCGGGGCAGTATGCATGAAGTAGCACAGCTTATTTGAGAGCACTGCTGCTGGAAACTACATTTTGATGGTTAGACATGACTTTTGTTTTCTTGGTGCTAAATTCTGCTTAAAATGTTTACATATCAATTCAAAGTGTTAGAGGAGGCTATGGGCATTAAAACAGCAGGTACTTAGCTGGTATGAACTAAGATAGGGTTGCAGCTCATATGGATATATTTGAGATAACTTAAACCAGCTACAGGGTAGCTACAGCAGCACAGAGGCAAGTGTAGGTTGGAAGACCCACCTGAAAAACTAAGGAAAGCACTGAAGCAGTTAGTCCATGGGGAGCTCTGAGGGTAAAAACAAACTTTAGGTTCACCTGGAGGCTGATTCACCTGGAGGCTTTGAGTTGCTTTCAGACAGGTGCTGGACAGCCTGAATGACAGTTAACTCAAATTACACCCCCATTGTCCTGGGGAAAAGTGGATACTTCACAGGTACTTAAAGTTTACAATAGGCTTGTAGGTCTGTAGGACCCTAAAATAAAAGGCGTTGTCCCAGGAGAAATCCTACTTCTGTTTTTACCCTGAGCTATTGAAGGTGCCACTGGTACCTGAGCTAAATAAAAGCTGTCTTGGGTATTCTAATATAATAAAGGGTTTAGTCCGTCTGTCTGTCTGTAAACAACCAATCAGAGTGCTCCGCAGAGATAGAAAGGAGGCGGCAGTGGAACGCTGCCATGATGGCGGGGATGGCATGCTGCTGGCCTCACCACCCCCAGCCCTGCTCCTTGGAGCTGGCGGCAGCACGGGGTGCTGGCAGAGGAGGACAGAGGGGATGGCGGGGCAAACTTCCCCTTCCCTGCTCCTGTTTTGCTTTCTTCCTTTCCTGTTAGCTGCTTCCTACCCACTGAGCACCAGTCCATTATTGGTGTTCATCTGTTGATTTTAAGTTGACCCAGGAGACACTGTTTCCTTGCAGTATACCAGCTATGCACCACTAAGGTGATGCATAGTTGGTATATCATTAAAAAGATCCAATGGACCAATCAGAATGAGGGCAGTGCCTAGGACCAGGCTCTCATACACAATAAAGTCTTTTTTATTTTCTGTTGGGCACCATAAAAATAGAGCTAGAGAAGTTCTTCCACATTTTCGGTCGCATTTGTGATCTTACACATTTATGGAATGTGGTGACAGAAAGAAAATCTTTTCAGATTGGTATATATGAATTACATAGCTGCTTAGTCTCTGAACCCTACGTAAACATTGTATGTTGATTATATGTAAACTTTTCTGATGTGTTTTATATATTTTATTAATTCTGCTTATAGCCATAAGAAAAGTCAGTATTGTTATTCTATTTTCATAATAGTAAAAACTAATGTTTGTATTTCAGTTCTGGAAATGGTTTCTAATGAACTTAGCTTCTGGTGGAGCAGCTGGAGCTACATCCTTGTGTGTAGTGTATCCATTAGACTTTGCACGAACACGATTAGCTGCTGACATTGGGAAAGGTAGTGAATTATTTTAAATGTTTTTCCGGTATCAGCCTCATCTGTTTTTCAGATTTTTTATATTTATCCTTATAACCAAATTAATACTCATCTATTTGCACTAGAATTCTTTCTGTTACTTAAAAAGTGTCTGTTGAATAGTTAAGAAGTCATAACATTTTATTTTTAAAAGGTTGTATGATTATTAAAAAATGAAGAGTGAGTGAAAAGAAAGAATCCTTGGAGACAGCTGTGCAATTTAATCCTTGGTTTTAAAGGGTTTATAGCCTTATATATTTGCTTAGTTTTTAAGTTTTAAATAAACTGCCTTGGATTTGCCAGGTGCAGATCCCAAAAGTTGCAGGATTTCACTTTGTAACACCATGATTCGAATGCACATAGACATCAGGGCCTGCGAGTCATCCTTTTTTCCAACAAGTTATGTACAAAGGTTAAAGGTAAAATATGCCACTAGATATGGGTCTTACAGATTCAAATTATTAAAATAAAGATGTGTAATCAAATAAAAATGTTGAAACGAATTGTGTCTGATGTATATACCTCATTAGATTTTATTCTCAGAAGAAGATCGCACAGTTGTCACAGGGTTCTTTTTATCCCCATGTCCCAAATTATGACTTACTGTCAACAGAAAACCAAGAAAAATTCCTTAGTAACAGAATGAGCAACATCTTGTGTAAATCAGTTTTTCCATTCACTTTGGTGGGCTTGTCAACATGTGAAATTATAGAATTTGGTAGTAAGCAAAATGAACTCTTATTTAATGTGGTAAATGGCTTCAAGTATTTAAGAATTAATATCTAAATTAGTAGTTCTGGTAGTGTAAGGATTCAGAATCCAGATAGAAGAAAACTGAAAAGCAAACACAATACAGCTATTTTTTTAAATAAATCTTTTTATATTGTATTGTAAGTTAAATTAAAGTACCTGTAAGTTTGTAGTTCAGTGCTAGTATACCATCATGGAATAGGCAATGTTTGGGGTCCTAGTGAAGAAGTGGCTGGCTTAACCCCAGAAAGATTTCCCAAATTTCCTGTATGCTTCATAGTCCTCACCTGAAAACCATTAGCTGTAGAGCAGTCAAGGGAATCATTTGTCTTCTGTGCACCTCCCAAGACTGAATGTAAGGTTCTCCAGAACTAGGGACAGAAATTACTTTTAAACTGTTGTAAGTGGTTGGAAGCTGGTTCAAATCTGTAACACAACAGAAGTTCAGTGGACATTAAACTGCTTTCAAAATGGCCAAAATCAGTTTAAGATAAACCTGGATGGACACAGTATCAGAATTAACTTATTTAAGTTAGACTGGTTTATTGGACTTCTGTCCCAGATCAGCATCCCAGAATGCTTTGCACCTCCCCTGCAAACCCCACTCCCTCCCCACAGGTTGGGCATGCTAGCCTTGGACCAATGTGTCTGTTCCAGCTGAGCAGGGAGGCATGCTATAGCACCCCCTGCCTTCTGGCCTGTGCCACTGCAGGCATGTGGCTGCATTTCCAGAATCAAAAGTGAATGTCTGTTCACTTGCGTATTGGTTCAATCTATGCAGCTTAGACTAACCTGCAACAATTAAGTCGATTGAGCCTCAGGCTTTTTGACTGTCTGTATTTAGCCCAGGTGACCAGCAGCCTTCTAGCTATCTTGTCCTCCCTTACCTGGTGTTGCTGGACCCTCCCTGGCCTAAACTTGAGGTGTTGTTTGAACCTGGTTTTCAATATGCCCTTGGTCTGACCAGATGGACCATTTGGGAAAAATCAAAGAATGATTCGTAAGGTGTCCAGCAAGTTTTTCATCTTCTTCACCGAATCCTGGAGGCCTAGTTTTAGTTTAGAAGGAAGTAAAGAAAGGAATTAATCAAATGTAAGTTTAGTAAGTAGAGTTAAGATATTTTGTTGCAACTTGCAGTTATCATACAGAGCAAGTTAAAGACAGGAAGGGACCAGCTCTTAGGTTAAATCTGGATAAGATTACTATGAGATAACTGATGGACCCTACTACAGGGAGAAAAAGTGGCCTTAAACTTTCGTAGATGGAGCTACCCTTCACTTACCCCATCACATCCTTTCAAACAGAGGTCAGATGATTTGGAGGTAGACAAAACCTTAAGGGTTATGCTAAATGGGGCCAACCCTGAATACTAGTTATTTGGCATGTAGGTCATTAAGCATGATGCTGGGCACAAGTCAATGACTGTTTTATGGATGGAAGAGGTAGCTTCCATATTCCATTATAGTTAAAAACTACCCACATAACTGCTTTGGTCAAATGTCAAATTTGTGGTGAAAGTAGCATCAACTAACCTGGAATAATGTCTGGGACATTTGAAGATTTTCTGGTTCCAGTCTCTAGACATATCTGCAAAGTAGTCCTTTTTCCTTTTCCAGTCAATGCTCCATTCTATTCCAGGCAAAAGAAATGTGGGGGATTTTCCTATCTAGCAAAATAATTGTTCAAAGCACCAATAGGCACATTAATTTACTGAAAACTTCTTTTATGACAGGTATGGCTGAACGGCAGTTCATGGGCCTTGGTGACTGTATTGTTAAAATTGCAAAGTCTGATGGACTTGTTGGCCTGTACCAGGGGTTTGGTGTTTCAGTGCAGGGAATTATTGTGTACCGAGCTTCCTATTTTGGATGTTACGACACCATTAAGGTAATTTATGAGCAAAACACAAACTTGTCACATATTTAAAATCTACATCATGAGCTCATTAACACGTTAATTATTTAGCTATATTTTAATTTTTTCATTTATCTATATTTATACCATATTTAGGAAGCATAACTTATTTTAATTACAGAAAAGATACTCCAACTAGATAATTTGTTAGATAGTTCTAGCAAACCAGCATTTTGCTCTACAAGTTTTGACATTAAAGTTAGATGATCAGAAATTGCATACTCATGTACTGTTTTTTCTTTTGCAGGGGTTATTGCCAAATCCAAAACAAACCCCATTTGTTTTGTCCTTTCTCATTGCCCAGCTTGTAACTACATTCTCTGGAATACTATCTTATCCTTTTGACACTGTCAGAAGACGCATGATGATGCAGGTGTGCAATGTTTTGCAATTCTTTTTATTTGAAAATCGTACGTTGGATCAAAAAATGTCTGAAATATCACATAATGTGCCCTGTGCCCTTTTAGCACTAAAACGTGCTTTAAACTTAGGGAGTGCTTGTACTTCTGCTGCTCTCCAGAATTTAGACATCTAATGAGTACACAGGAATTTCTGCCCATTCAGGATCCAGAGCATAGAGTCCCCCTCTAAGAATGGCAGACGAGCTCACATTTTAAAGCTTGCTTTGATGGTAGTGGCAAAAGATGCTTCATGTCCTCTACCCTTTATATAGGAAGTGTAACAGTTGACCATCTACATATAAGTGACTCTGGGACGGGTGACACCCTCCACACTTCCTGTCAAATGCTGAGCCACTGCAGCCAAGAATACAAGATCAATAGACCCGCTTCTGTAATCTAATGGTTATGGCACTCAGGTGAGAAAGAGGATGAGCACCCAAGAACTGTCTAAAATAAAATGAAGAAGTCAGTCCAGGGTGGAAGTACCAGAACCCAGGTTGCTCCCCTCCATAACGAATACCCTAACCAGTGAACTGCAGTCAGCCTTCCTCTTGGTCATCCACTGCCACTACCAGTATTTTGGAATGAAAGTGACTGTGTATTTTTGAGTGAAAGCGACTGTGGCTACTGCTTTTTGTGCTGAATTCAGTCTTGCTGGTATGTAATAGTCATACTCAGAGCATGCCTTCTGTTTTGGGCCCCTCCTGGGACTCTGGCAAAATTTAGGCTCTACCTTATAGCTGCCTAACATCAAGATTGTAACAGAGCTCTGGTGGGTGCCAGCTGGCTCAGATTGAGGTCTTGCATGAATATGTGAAAGATCTTTGAAATCCAAAATGTATAAGCGCTTAATGAATTTAGGCACTAATGAGTTTTGTAACTGATGGAGTTTTGTAACATTCTGGAGTGATTCTGGGTGCCTAAATTCTGCAAAATCCCATTTGGGTTCCTGGTTACCAATCTGGACCTGACCCTAGCATTAATGCAAAAAAAGAGAGAGAGAGAGAGAGAGAGAGAGAGATGAAAAATAATATCATATGGAATGCTAATTGAAAAAATATTAAATGCTATAGTAACAATCCAGTGATTTTTGTCAAGGAAAGTGAAATAAGAACAGAACAAGTAAAGAGATGATTAAGAAGGTCTGTGTACCTCCTGGTACTATATGTCATAGGACTCTGAAATATGATATTTATAGTGTCCTGGGTATTTTTTTTTTTTAAGGTTAATGGGGTTCCGCAGCTGTGGCTACAAGTAGAGTTGCTGCTATGTATGATTTCTATGAAGGTGAAATTAACAGCATGCATACAGAATCAATTTCTCATGGTGACAATCATGCTGATCAGGGAGGAAGCCATGCATCTGATGCTGTCTTTTCTGTTACCAAAAATAAATTTGGCTCTCAGGGCAACTTTCTGCAGTAAATGGGCACCATATGCATTGTTTCTAGTGAAAGTGTATGTGCTAAAATGGGAAATCTTTCTCACTTAAGTTCCAGCCTCTTCTGCCTCATTCCTTTGAAGAGATTACAATAGATTCAGACCAAAATGCTGATGGTGCATTTTTGTATGTTCAAGAAGCCTCCAATAGTGACAATTCCCACCTTATACTGACACTCCTGTTAGAAGGAGCAATAGTGCTGCATGGTATGCTTTCCTAGTCAGGTAAACTGATCTTAGAAGATATACTGTGGGTGCAACTACATGTGCAATTAATGTGATGCAGTAAAATTGAGAGCAGTTTGAGCCAGAGTCAGCTTCTCCCAGGCACAGGGTCTACATATGCACCCGGGACAGCAGCAATTTGAGCTGGGGCAGAGCAGGCCTCCAGCTGTCTGGGCTGACCAGGCACAATGTGTACCCACGGTCAACATCTACATGTGCATTTCAGTGCAGGAAAGTATTCCGCCATAGGATATTACTGGCCCTGACTACTATCACATGGCAGAGTTAAGTAGTTTACTGCACTGTAAGATCAGCACACATGTAGGCTGTAACTATTTACTGTGGAGCTAATTAATCTACTCCACAGTAAAGTGTGTGTGTAGCTGCAACCTGTGGGTACATCTACATGAGACGTTTACTGCTCAGTTGACTAATTTGACTAATTAACTATGCAGTAGGTCTTTTAGCATTTACACATGAGCTCTTATTAGGAGTCACAAAACTAATAAACTCTACGGCAGGGTAGGACTTGTAAATACAAGTGCTGCGGAGTTTTTTTGTACGCAGCAGCTCACATGTAGATGCTGAGCCAGCTGGCTGGGGCATGAGGGTGCTTCAGTGTGAGGGCCACCTGCCGGCTAGTCCTGCACTGAAGCACCCTCATGCCCCAGCCAGCCCCCTGCAACACACTGAGCCCAGTCAGAGCAGCCCTGGGCTGGCAGACTGACCCCCACAGACCCACCTGCCATCCAGGGATGCTGCAACCTGGCTTAATGTGCTGCGGTCTGGACGCATGTTTAAACTGCATGACCCAGACCTTTCTAGGAGCTATAAACTGCAGAGCAATTAATTCTGAATGTAATTGCTGCACATTAATGGCTCTTGTACACATGCCCTGTGTGTCACAAAAATGTAAACTTAAAGAGAGATTTCTTCCTCTATGATTGTTATATTTCTGCCATCTAAATCTGCCACAGAGAAGTATACCCCACCCACCCACTCCAGATGTGCACCTGCCACAGCAAAAGTGAGGCAGTGAAACTGCACTGAGAGCACCCTCACTGCTGCTTTCATGCCTACCAGAGACAGGTATCTTGTACAGTCATGCCCTTAAAGTCCAGGGCCTTCTCTAGTCAGTGCCAATGCACAAGATTTTGTAACCCAGTACAAAGCAGGGGCTTATATGTTGATTTCACAGCAGTTAGCCCTAACTCTAACAGTGGATCCCTCAGCGCTGCCTGGCCCAAGCATAGGGTCAGCCCAGGCCATGGTGTGTGTGGCCTATCCCACTGTTCCCAGGCATGCCTGGTGGCCAGACTCCATTTCCCAGCAGCCCTGGCAGCGGCAGCTCCTTCCAGCTGCTGCTGCTGGACCCAACTCCTCTGCTCCAGCATTCTTGCTTATCCGTCCCACCACTGGGGATGGGAGCCACATGGACGGAGCATGCAGCTGGAAGGTTGGGTTGGGCTGGGGGATGTGGGCCAGTGGAGAGCAGTGTCCTGGAGTTAGATGGGTGGGTGGGGCTGAGGACACCTCAGGATTTTGGGGTGGTGACAGTGTAGGGCTGGGGCCAGGGCAGAGCCATAATCCACTGCACGCCTGCCCCTGCAATGGGTGTGGGTTCTGTGGGAAGGGGTGTGCAGGGAGCAGATCTTGGCTCTGCCTTGCTCTGGCCTCACCCCTGGCCCTGCAGTGCCCCAGGATTTTGGCCCTGGCTTTAGATGCAGCTCTCTGCCTGCCCATGGCCACATCCCATCTGCCCAGCTATACACCCTGCCTGAGCAGCTCCCAGCCAGCCTCCATGGAGCCCCCATCATGGGGTGGTGATAGCACAGGGACAGAGCCCTGGTTCTGCAGGCAGGGACATGAAAGATGTGCATCGCGGCTTTACCCTGGCCCACATTGTCATTGCCTCATTATCCCAGGGTCTCCATGGAGGCGGGCTGGGAGCTACACAGACAGGGTGCACAGCTGGCCAGGGGCTGACATCTTGAGGTGGTGACAGCATAGGGCTGGGGCAGAGTTATGATCCACTCTCTGCATGCCCCTGCCTGCCAAACCTGTGCCCATTGCAGGGACATTCAGGCAGAGTACTGCGGCTCTGCTCCAGGCTCCAGCCCCACACTGTTACTGCCTGGTAACTCCACCTGATAATCCTGGCCTTGCCTGCTCATCCTGCTCCTGAACACTGCTCACCACCCATCTGTGGCCACATCCCACATAGGGAGTTTTGGTGCGGTGTTGTGTGGGGGCAGGCGTTGGTGACCCAACCTATGACAGCTCAACCAAACTCCCTACGTGGCCCTTGGACCCAAAGAATTGCCCACCCCTGCTCTATATTCTTTGCACTGGGATAATACTTGAGTACAGGGCAACAGGAATCGTGTCCCTATTCTGTTCTGAAAAACAACCAAGTTCGCTACTGAAAATATGGCATTGTGTGCCCTCCTCCCCCTCCCACCTCCCTCCAAATTGTTGATCCAGAAAACTCACTTTGAGTTTTAAGATTAGGTGATGTGACTGAATAAACTCAGTAAATATTGCAGAGTAGAGAGATGCCATTTTTATACAGTCACTTCCTAGGATAACTGCTCCTTGAGAGTCTGTCATTCCTTATGGATTACTGGGAATGGGAAAAATTTGAGTGTGACATTGTGGATAATAATTGATGGCATTACTGAAACAATCAGTATCAGTATCATCAAATTCTGTGCGACCAACAATATTACTAGTTGTGTCTTCACTGCAGAAAGAAACACGCATGTAATTATATGGAGACAGCTAATTTGAGAAAGCTATCTCAAGGTAAAATTCTACTGGAGATAATGCATAGGTAGAATTGACATTAAGGTTTATCTCAGCAATGAGGGAAAGCTACAGGGCTTTGTTTTTAGTAGACTTTTATATCAAGAGAGCTATTTTGAGTTCTCTCATTATAAATGCTATTTTTTTATTGCATTGAAGACAGTATCAGTGTTTGCCACCTATTTTACATAATCAAATCTGGAAAAGACTGCACTTCCCTTTTCCCTTCCTTCAGTTGCAAGTACTTGTTCCAAACTCCAGGAAGAATGGGGTCCTCCTTTGCGTTGTTTGAATATGTTACAGAAACTCTATGAATGCTACCCTTTTACACTGTATATCACATTCTGCATGTTCAGGGGCTGCTATAGGTAAGCCATTTCATGACACACCAGGGCCCTCAGCCCTCAAAACTCACAGAAGCTGGATCATCCCCAGTTTGGGTAGAGGGGTCTCTGCAGCACATGAGGATAAGGAATATGATGTGTTAGCTCAGTCTACATATTTTGAGCCACCGGAATAGAGTTTCTAGTCCTTTTTATCATCTTCCTTGAGGTTTGATTTTATTCTGCAAGTGAGAACCCTGCCAGTTTTTAAATGATTTTTTGTGGCTATCTATCTGATGGCTGAATTCAATTAATTACTGTTGCATTGAGGTCTATTGCTATAAAGACAATTCAGCAGTACTAAAGGAGGAAAAAGATGTATTGCACAAGTTTTGATAATGTCAGAGTTGTTCAAAGCACCCTTAGGACTGGAGTGGCCTCATTCAACTCCTGAGCTTTCAATTTGCTCAGTAAAGCTTAAAAGAAGCAACGCAGGATGGGTCACAGTCTTTCTAAATTTAGCTATGGAGAAGTAGCTATCAGAGCATTGAGTCACAGGAATATTGACTAGTTAGGGATCTGTTATTTGCAGGAGGTAAAATGAGAAAAAGGTGTTCCAAGTAATCATCCTTAAATATTCATCATTAGAGAAAAACAAATTTGCATTGTACTAAGTGTCCAAGTTTTGTTTAATGTACTGCACTAACATTTTTTTTATATTTGCATACAGAGTGGAGAGACTGAACGTCAGTATAAAGGAACTATTGATTGTTTTGTCAAGATATACAAACTAGAGGGACTTAATGCTTTCTTTCGTGGAGCCTTCTCCAATATCCTTCGTGGGACAGGAGGTGCCTTGGTGTTAGTGCTTTATGACAAAATTAAGGAAGTTTTTCATCTTGATGTTTCAAAGAGTTCATCTGACTAAAATAGTAGCTGCACATCTATTTTGATGGTATAATGTACAGTGGTACAAATCTTATTGTTTGGATAGCATGTTTTTCAGTTTCTCTGCTGTGTTTTTCATACTGTAAGAAATCACTTGGATGTGTTCAGGAACACACATGTGCTAAACTGAATATTTACTCTGATCTTTTAAAAAATACCTAAAGAGAGTTATTTGTTTTCCATCACAGAAAGGTGTACATTGTCTTCTTTCCTTTCATTTTCAAATGGCTTTCAATGAGAAACAAATATCTATAATACAGAAAGAAAGATAATCACCCATGACAGTGGTGCTCAACCCCTAGCTCGCAGACCAGATATGGCCCATGGAACCATATCATCCAGCCTGTGAGGCTCCCCACAAGTCTGGAAACTTGGAGGTGGGGGAGATGTGGCAATTAACACTGCCACTGCTTCCTCATCGCCAACTTTCCAAGACCTGCGGGTCAGGTGACATAGCCCAGCTCACAAGGCCATGGGTGTGATCTGGCACGTGGCCTTATACAGAGCTGGAGCACAGGGGTGGGGCTTCGCACTGGGCCAGCCCCAAGTGCCAGATCAGATCCTGGATAGGTCAGCCCCATGGACCAGACTGGGCCCCAGCTGGGTCAGCCTCACACACTGGGTTGGGCTCTGGTCACATGTGTCAGAACCCAACTCTTGGCCGGTCAGCCCCACATGCCAGAACGTTGGCCAGCCCTGCATACTAGATCGAGCCCACAGATTGACTCTACACCACTCATCCAGACCCTGGGGCCAAAAGGTTGGGTGACATATATTAGGGTGCTCTTCTGACACTAAACGTTACATTGAAAAATGTAACCTCCCTCCCTGGGCTTTACCAGCAATCTGGGGATCCTGAGAGGGAATCCCCTCTCAGGAAAGAGGGACAGTCTTCAGCTAGAGGAATGGTTTGCAGTAGTGCAAATACATCAGCCTATGATAATTTTTGAAGAGGCCAGAGCTGGCTGGGATAACTAATGAAATGGACAGGACCTTCTAAGAAGGGGCATAACTGATATGCAGGTAAAGTGCTTATTCATGTTATCTCTTGGGCTGTTTGCAAAGTCTGAGAGGAAATTTAAAGCCACCCTTCCCTTAGAGAAGAGCAGTCATAAGAGACCAATCTGCTATCCCCCTTCCAAGTGAGTTTCCCTGGCAGCATAGAAAGTGGTTAGTGGCAGCAGCAGAAGCAACTTGATACAAGGATGACAGTCAACATGGAAGTTAGTGATAAGTCTGGAGTGGTACTTTCACTCATAAGTGGATGACGGTGAAATTAGTTCATATGTACACAGGCAAATCAGCTGGACAAGATATGTTTGCTTGTTGGTGATGCAATATTGCTTCTTGTGACATACTTCAAATAACATGACAGTAGTATCTAATATAACCTAATACTTGGTATGATCCCATATTGTAAATTAAAAGATGCGACCAATTCTAACCAGTGGAATTCCTACCAGGCAAATAAACCTGATCCAGAGACAGTGAATTAAGAGCTGTTAATAGTAGCATGAAGTGAAATGTGCTCATGTGTATTATTGGAAACGGTACAATCAAACCATCCATATTAACACAGTGATAATCCCATACAAAGCTGAGTGCCTGCTGAAATCCTGATGCTAAAACATTTCCCTTGCAAATATAAGAATGGTTGACCTGTCCTGAGCAGGAAGGGATAAAGAAAATAACCTAGCAACATATCAAAATAAGATTAGATGCATTTGTGACTGGCAAATACCTCACAACATGAGATTTTATATTGCTTATTTCAAAAAGAAAAAGCAACAGTTTTAGGGAGTACTTTTAATAATGAAACTTGAACATTTGTGTTGGTATCTAATTCATATATTTGAATGCAGAACAAAAGTAAAAACGGAACCTATTTAGGATCTTAATGCTTATTTAGAATACAAGTCAAGCTTATAACAAGACCTACAATGCAAAATCTAATGCATTATTCATGTAGGAAATGTACAATTTTCAATGTACAGAAATGTGATACTCTTCATTTGACTTTTTAAATATTTTGATGTAAGTGATTTTCAGAAATTATACCAGATTTGTGTGGAACTATGACAACTTTGGGACAAAAAGGAACAACCCACCAAAATAAATGACACTTGAGTAGTATTAATTTAGGTTATTAGTTTAATGGAGATTAAGGATAGAAGGGGCTAATAGATCATATATAGTCTGATTCCCGTGTATTACAGATAATTATGTTTCATTCAAGTACTGTATATCAGGAGCAAAGATTTGAGTTAAGCCAAATATTTGAATACAAATTAATGCAGTGGATGCATGCTACTGGCAGGTAACAGGAGAGATTAAGGCTGAGGAATTGGCTCCGTGGTCGGACCCAAAGGGTGGTGGTTGACGGAAGTCAACCATCATGGTGCCCTTTGACCAGTGGGGTCCCCCAAGGCTCTGTCCTTGGACCTGTATTGTTCAACATGTTCATTAATGATGTGGATATTGGAGCCAGAAGCAGACTGGCCAAGTTTGCTGATGATACCAAACTCTGGAGTAAAGCATCCACACCTGAGGACAGGAGGGAGATCCAGGCTGACCTTGACAGGCTCAGCAAATGGGTGGGCGAGAACCTGATGGTGTTTAACACCGAAAAATGCAAGGTTCTCCACCCTGGGAGGAAAAACCTGTAGCATCCTTACAGGCTCAGCAGTGCTACGCTGGCTAGCACTATGAATGAAAAGGACTTGGGGGTTATGATTGACCACAAGATGAACATGAGCCTTCAATGTGATGCTGCAGCCAGTAAAGCGACCAAACTGCTGGCTTGGATCCATAGATGCTTCTCAAGCAAATCCTAGTACATCATTCTCCTGTTGTACTCGGCCTTGGTGAGACCACAGCTGGAGTACTGCATCCAGTTTTGGGCTCCACAATTCAAAAAGCATGTGGAGAAGCTTGAGAGAGTCCAGAGAAGAGCCACGTGCATGATCAGAGGTCAGGAAAACAGACCTTATGACAACAGGCTGAGAGCTATGGGGCTCTTTAGCCTGGAAAAGCATAGGCTCAGGGGCGATCTGATGGCCACTTACAAATTTATCAGGGGTGCTCATCAGGATCTGGGGAAATGTCTGTTCACCAGAGCGCCCCAAGGGATGACAAGGTCAAACAGTTATAAACTCCAGCAAGACCATTTCAGGCTGGACATAAGGAAACATTTCTTTACTGTCTGAGCCCCCAAGGTCTGAAATAGCCTGCCATCAGAGGTGGTTCAAGCGCCTACTTTGAACGCCTTCAAGAGAAATTTGGATGCTTATCTTGCTGGGATCCTATGACCCCAGATGACTTCCTGTTCCTTGGGCAGGGGGCTGGACTCGATGATCTTCCAAGGTTCCTTCCAGCCCTACTGTCTATGAAATCTATAAAATCATCCCCAAATGCCCCCAGAATGGCAGGGAAGGATTAGGTGAGATGATCCCACATGATCCCAGCAGGTGTATGGCAGCCCAAGCTGTGGAGGAAATACAACCCCTTTTCTGTTCCCAGTTAGTCTGACTTGGGGGAAAGTTTCTTCCTATCCTCAGATCTGGAAATCTGTGGGTGTGTCTAAACGAGACGCTAAATGCACAGTAGACTAATTCTACTGTGCGTTAGCTCATCACAGCAAAAGCTGTGCTACTGTGCTAATGCACAGTAGAATCAGTCTCCTGTGCATTAGCATCTCTAAAAAGATGTGCAGTCACATCTGTGCAGTAGTGCTGGTTACTGCATATTTAGTTAGAACCTGTTATTATAGGTACTAAACTTAATGTGCAGTAACTACGGCACATTAATGCATGTGTAGACATTCCCAGTATGATTGTTAGCATGTGAGCAAAACAAACCTGCTGGGTACCTGCAAGGCTTCACTAAACTACTTCAGAAGATTGGCTCATTCTACTCAGTTTCCAGTGTCCAACCTGTGGCACCCCTTCTCTAGTCACAGCAATTATTACCGTGAAAGTCCTTTGGCATTTTCTTGTTAGTACCATGAATGCCTACAAATACACCTGCGCTGCAGCGCCCATTGTAAGGATACCCAACGTAGCGTTAAATGAACTAGCTAGGCTAGTGGGAACACTCTAACCCTGACATTACACAGCTCAGCATGAGCTAATTTACTCTGCTGAGAAGCGTAATATGCCAACACTTCTACAGTGATGGCTATGCCTCCTTTGCATAGCTATATGGTTCCCTCTGGGCTTGGCGTGGTAATACCATTCTGGATTACTTCACAGAAGACTTGGGTTTGATTTCTTCCCCCAGGTTGCCATTTCATGAATTGGGAGTACTGCAAAAACATTATGCATAGCTGCAATGCCTGGAGTCGTTCAGGTCCAGTCTTACTATTTTAATGCCTAAAGCTGCCAGAGTAGAAAACTGAATTGTGAGTAGTTTCCCCTTATGGTCCGGTTGCTAGAGACAGGATTTGACCTGGTTACTCTTTGTGATCATGATGCTAGAAAAGGAAATAGGCTGTGAATTGCTGTAGCTAACTGTAAGCAGCAGCTTGTTTTGTTTGGGCTTAAAGCCAACCCTTGTGGGACTGCTCAACAATGAACCTTATGGTTGCAAACAGAGGAGTATTGAATAATTCTGAAGGAAGAGGTACCCATTGCTTCATGGCCAGAAGGATCCTGGCTGCGCTGTAGTAACAGGGGGGATAGAAAGCGGAGAGAAATCAGGAGAGAATCACAGCTCTGACAGGAACACCAACTTATATTGTCATTACGTGGAGTTTTTCCAGTAACGCAATAACACATCACAACGCCACGCTGAAACATTGAGTTATGTCAGACAATCAAGTTGCTATGTCAGAATGAGAACTGAAAGATATTTATGAAGCTTTACTGTCCCATGAGTAAGCTTTGGAAAATGTGGGCTTGATCCTTTTATGGAAAGTATCACATAAAAAGCATAAATGGGAATCATAATAGTGTTACGCAGGTTGCCAGTCGCTCCCTATCCAAAAAAAAAAGGAACATAGCAAAGAAAGATGGAACTTTTTGGCACTGAAATATTTCCAGATTGCACTTAGCTTTACATAATTTCATGCGTTGTGATCAAAATGTTTTACTATGTGAGTGCTGTTCTGCAGCCAAATGTGATATGAATTTAGTGCACAGGCAAGTGCAGAGATATCACAAAAGCATCAATAAAGGTGGCATTGACTGATGCTTTTGTTTGAAGTCTCAGAAGAATGAAATAAGTTATTATTTATGGAAGCCCATTCACCCTCAGAACACAAGAATTTCTCAAAGCTGAAGCACATTTCAGACACAGACATATACATATAAAACATCTATGTGATGGGTCATTGTAACGCATCTAGAATGTACGCAATGTACAGCACGCTTCATATTAATTTCTTGAACTAGACATTGCTTCCAAGTAGCTGGCTTTCAGATTTTTATTTTACAGGGCTTATTATGAATGGAAGCTGGGACTCACACACCTGGATATGAGAGCTCTAATCACAAGCTGTTATAAAAAAGGGACGCTGCCACCACCACCTTCAGAAGAAGCAGTGGCCATGATTGCATATCAGAGGAAGTCAAATCCTGTTGTTGTGTGAGGTGTGCTCTGAGAACACCTATCAAATAGAACCCATAGGACTAATGGAATGACGCTTATAGTTGCTAGATGCCAATTGGGCTTAAATGTGAACTAGGTATTAAACTGCGCAGCCCTGCCAAGGTTTGGACAATTCTGGGCATGTGTAGAGATGTGATTTTAGAGTCTAGGGAAACATAAAAGTAAAAAGCCAGGTTTAGGCACTCCCAGGGTTGGGATGCAATTAAGAAGATTAGCAGGAGCTTAGTTTTTTTTGGACTTTGGCATCTAAATGCCACAGAAATCCAGTGGTTGTTTTCTAAGCTGTTTCCTGGATGTGGCTCTTAGTCCTAAACCAGCTCTCATTGGAATTGTTGGGAGGGTGCTTAAAATCTACAGAACCTGCCCAGTACTTTGTAGATTTTGGTTTGTGACCCAGCTCTGTGTCCCACAGTAAAATAGGAAATGAATACTTACCTCCTACACTCTGCAAAGGTGCTGTGCGTATAAACAGAACTGACATTGTGTATGCACTTGGAAATCTCAGATGAAGAGCGGCTGTGTAACCTGAACCTATACATTACTCGTAATTAATGATGACATACAAAATTATATTAATCACACTTTACTTAGCCACCGTCACCCAGCAGTAATTATACAGGATCGCTGTAATTACAGCAAATTATATTATGTCTCCATAAATAATTATTTTTATTAAAAATAGCCAGCTTACATATCACTGGGTTTCATATTATATAATGCATAGTCATCTGGGTCACTGTCCTGTCACTGGGATCCACACTGCATAGTCTGCAGAGGGTCTCTGCTATTAAGTATTACAAATGTTAGATGCAAAAACAAAGGGGATGAGTCTCCCTGTGTAGGCAGACAGCATCACTCAGGTCCATAGATTTGGCATTAGGGAGTCCTGGTTAGATTGGTAAAGGCTGTGGGGGATTTGCTTTCCTCTGAACTGGGGGGCATGGCCCTCTACCAGAGACCTCTTGAGTGTATATTGAATCAACATTTCATAGAAGCAGGACACACTTTACCAGCTACAACTCCCACTTTACCTGTGGCAGGTTAGGGGGTTAGGTCTATGTTGTGGCAGGGTTGATGGTGGGCTCATATAGAGTTTATGGTTTGTAGGGATGGTTTCATAGTTTCTAGGGTCGGAAGGGACCTGAGAAGATCATCTAGTCCGACCCCCTGCCATGGCAGGAAAGAGTACTGGGGTCAAACGACCCCAGCAAGGTGTTCATCTAACCTCTTCTTAAAAACCCCCAGGGTAGGAGCCTGCACCACCTCCCTTGAAAGGTGGTTTGATCCTGCCTCAGGCAGGGTGTTGGACTAGATGACCTCTGCAGGTCCCAGCTTGACTTCTTTAGGACTCAGTGACTCTATCCCCAGTGTTTTCTTTGCAAAACGCTGGGGGTGGGTAGGCAGGAGTTTCTCAGACGCACAAACATAGGTGCCAACTCCATGGGTGCTCTGGGGCTCAACCACCTACTGAAAAAGATTAGCAGGTGCTCACAAGCCACGGCTGTCTTGGTTTTACATGTTAGAAACCAAACATGTAAACATGTCTGTGGCTGCTTGCAGCCATTAAAAAAACAAACAAACCACACTTCACCAGAAAAAATAGTGTATTACTTCAACCCGGCTCCACAGCATCTGTATAGATAAGGCGCTTCAGCAGGGCTTTTGGGCACTTTTAACTGAAGCTGATTCAATCAGCTATCGGTAAAGGTGCCCAAAGAGCTCCACTAAAGCGCCCAATTTTTACAGACATCAGGTGAGCCAGGGTGAAGCAACATGCTTCCTCTTCTGGGGGTGTGCGGTGCTTGCCCCCCTGCAACTAAAAGCACCTGCTGGCAAAAACCGAAGTCAGTGCTTTGTAAGTGTGTATAAGCGTGTAAGTCTATATGTGTTTAAGTATACGTGTATAAGTGTGTTTAAATGTGTGTGTGTAAGCATGTATGCGTATAAGTGTATATGTGTAAGTGTGTGTTTAAATGTATGTGTGTATGGGTATATGCGTACAAGTGTACGTGTGTAAGTGTATAAATGTAGGGTACAAGTGTCCAAAGTCAAGGTCCCACTGGGCAAGCCGGGATGCCTCGGCAGTATCGTGGCTCCCACACGCCTGAGCCGCGGGGGCCCAGTTGCAGCAGGAAAGGGGCGGCAGAAGCCAGGCCGAGCCCCGGTCGGGGAGAAGCGGCGGCGGCGACGGCGGCGGCCGCGGGGTGTCGCTGTCCGAGCCGCCTCCCGCCCCTTTCCAGATCTTTCTCGAAGGCAGGCCGAGCCGCTCCGGAAAGAACCGAAGCCGGAGCCGGGCCGAGCAGCCTCCCTGCCCGGCGCTCCACCGCGCATGCGCCGTGCGCAGACACCGCCGGTTGGTGCCTGCTGCTCCGCAGTGGGGGAGCGGCGCGGGTAGAGCCGGGCCGGCACCAGTACCACCACCAGCAGCAGCGCTTCCCGCAGCCATGTCCGTGGTCGGTATCGACCTGGGCTTCCTCAACTGCTACATCGCCGTGGCGCGCAGCGGCGGCATCGAGACCGTCGCCAACGAGTATAGCGACCGCTGCACCCCGTGAGTGTCCCCGCGCCTCAAATGCCCGCGGCCCCCGGCATCCGCGAGGCGCCCGGGTGGGGGCGATGCCAGGCTCGGCTGCCTTTCGCCAGAGCGTCCGCCTGGGGCGCGGAGCCGGCGTGAACTGCGGCTCTTTGTCTCCAGCCAGGGTTTTTGGGGTGGGGTGGGGTTGGGTTGGGGGGGGGGTACAAGCAGCACTTA